GCACACGCAAACCACGCACACGCAAACCACGCACATGCAAACCGTGCACACGCAAACCACGCACACGCAAACCACGCACGCGCAAACCACGCACGCGCAAACCGTGCACACGCAAACACGGTTTCCAGCTCTAAATCCTGATGAGCAAGAGCTGCAATGTCTCCACTTCTGAGAGGAACCGGGGGACCCAGCGGCTGGGACCTCGGACAGGATGTGGGGCCGGAAGTCACTCTGGCCACACCCACAGCAGTGAGCGGCCGGGCTCTATGCATAAGAGGCGGAAAGTTGCTCGGCCGGCGGGCTTCATGGTGGAGCGCCGACCCATGGACCAGGAGGTCACAGTTCAATTCCAGGTCAGGGCACTTGCCCAGGTGCTTCTCTCTCACCATTGATGTCTCTCTCTTTCTCTTTTTTTCTCTCTCTCTCTCCCACCCTCCACTATGAAATCAATAAAAATACTTTCCTTAAAGGCTGGAAGTTCCTTCTCTGACTCAGCAAATATTTGAGCACACACATGCCACGGCACACGCCACAGCACAGACACCCACGAGCCACGGGCTAGTCCACAACACCCACTGTTGTCTAGACACACACCATGCATATTGGCTACGAAAACACCATTTTCTGCTCCTTTAATCGGGAGGATAAAGCTGCTGCTACCGTGTAAATAAAACTGTCGTCACTTCAACTGAGATCAGCTGAACGTGGTGAGGGGCAGGCTGCCCGGTGATCAGACCCGAGCGCTGGGCAGTCTGACTCACGTGGCAGAGGTTGGGTACCTCAGGCATCTCTCCAGGGCGTGTCACTGAGCCACGCCTTAGGCCAAGTTCATCTCCTATGGCCACGGATCTGTGCAGGGTGACACCTGTCACTCCAGGCTTTGAATAACCCGTGCCCCACGCCATGAAACAGCCTCAGGACGAGCGCTGCCGGCAGCCAGTCATCACGCTGAGGAGCGCCGACGGCTGTACATGCTAGTCCCCCATGAACGTCACTCAAAAATGGACGCTTTGTGGCAGAACCACTCGTTATGTCACCCCCAGAACAAACGGGACCGCCCCACCTGGGGAGGTGGCACTGTTCCGACCCCTTCAGCAGCACGGGACGCCGACGGGACGCTGACGGGACGCTGATGGGGACGCCGAGGCGACGGGCCAATCGATCAGCCCGAAAGAAAACGCACGCGTCAACTCAACACAACTTTAATAGCCGATGGAAAGCCGTCTCTTAACAACACCAAACATTTCTTCCTCACGGCAACCGTTAGCTACAAAGGACAGCGATTTCATATCCTTGGTCCGCAGAGAAGACACGTTTATTTACATTCTCGGGGGCCGAGGAGAGGTCTGAAACGGGCACAAGTAGGACCATGTGCTTCCAAAGAGATCACGTGATCACCGCCCTGGACTTAAAGCTTCCGCTTTAATAACTTCATTTAGATCTTAAACGCCAGAGTGCACACGCTCCTCATTAGAGACTCCAGTAACACAGCAGCTCTTCTCTGACGGGTCCTCCCACGGCGACCCCCCTGCCGCCAGGGACGCAGCGGAGCCCCGGGCACACGCAGACCGTCGGGGCGGCTCTGCACCGGCCGCTACTTGTACAGGCTCATGGTGGGGCTCTGGTACATGCACATGTAGGCGTCGCACAGCAGCCTGCGTGCACAGCCCTGGATGCGCCGCGTGTCCAGGGAGTGCAGGTCCTCCGGCGACATCTTCAGGTACTCCCGGACCTCGG